TTGTATACTCTTGGAAGTCAACCTTCCTCTGTGCAAGGTGCCGTGTGACCCGTCACACCGGCAACCATTCAGCCACGGTTCAGCATATTCTTAATGTGGCAACAAGCTTGTCTACTGCTATACCTGGAAGCTTTTCAAACCAATTATTGATAGGCCTACACTCATCTTTCGCTCGAGTTAGGTTTAGCAACTGCTAGAAATCGCGGTGCAAAGAAGGCCAAGAGCCGAAATTAAATACTCTTTAATTTATTAGTTTTCTTTGGCTTAGGAGCTTAGGCAGACGTCAGCAAGAAGAAGTAATGTATCCGCAGCGGGTGGGTTTTCGCAGGGGCACTTTACCATTACTGTCTCGCAGGCTTCATTGAGGGCGAAGGTGGTTTTGCTCAATTTCACAATGTTAAACGTTTGAAGACACCTCCAAGAATCACAGCATTACCGTAAATGTAGGGGCGGCGCTATGTCAACACCGTCATGCAAAGTGTGTGTCGTCAAAACATCCGTGGTACGTAGGGTGATCCTCGATTGCCGAACAATAATGCAAAACTGAGCCAACTCACGGATCACGCATTTAAATTGGTAAAGCGGGCTCTCGTAGCTCTTTGTTCTAAATTTAGAACCAGTACGAGTCTAGTGGATCATAATCTGTTTCCAGGAGTAACTACAACATTAACCCAAGGCTAATTAACTCTTCCGTTCGAAATGTATCCTGTAAAGGGGTTACAAATACCTTGATAACAGGGGGGGGTGTCACACCAGATGGGCATGGTGTGACCACACCCAAACTAGAATACGGTACGGGGCTAGATAGCCGGTAGTTATACATGAAATATAGATTTTACTATACATATATAGGAAAATCTTTATTTTTAAAATTAGCCGGTTTAGCCGCAAATAGAATAAATAGAAATCAGTTTTGGATTAAATCCGAAGAGTCAATTAGCCCTGTGAAGGCAATGATTCACTTGGAGTAAGCGGATTCTTAATCGCTAGCTCGTACTTATTCTAAGTATAGAACGAAAGGTCGGTGACCTAAATGACGTTTCCTCAAGCGAAACGCTATGGCAGCCCCGCTGCACTTGGTAGCACTCGTAGTCAATCTACACCTGAGTTGTTAAGACTGATCCTCTGTGAGGAGTGATGATGGAACAATTTTCCTCTTTGCCCCAGGGCATGCAGGACGGGATTAAAAGGCTGATGTCGTTGCTTGGACCTGAGGGCGTGCAAGGTCCCGATGCAATCAGTGCGCGTCTAGAGGCGTTTTCAAATTACGAAAACACGCTGCTAGAGCACCTGCAGCAGAATATGTCTGCATCGTTTGCGTCTATGATGCGACCGTCAGTGACGGATGACTTTCCCCGACCTAAGCCGCTCATGGTGAGCGTTAATGTCTTCGAGGGGAAGATTGGAGGGAATATTCTGCTCTGGGTGACAGAGGTCGAGATGCTCATAGCATCAGCCATACTCCAGACCGAGCAACAGCGCGTGGCGCAAGCCATCTCAAAGCTCGGTGGTCGAGCGCGAGAATGGGCACTGACGTGCGGCACTTCGGTCGAAGCTGCGTTTCCCTCCTGGGCAGAGCCGAAATTGCAGCTCTCACGAGTGTTCTCGTCACCTAACCTGGCGTATCGCGCGCGATCACGTTTCCTTGCTGCCCGACATGGCAACACGGAATTGGTGGACTTTGTCCAAAAGATGCGCACTCTCATTGCCGTGATGGCAGCAGATCCCCTCTCGGAAGCAGTCACAGTGACCGTCTTTATGGAAGGCTTCCGCATTGACGTGGACAAAATGGAAGTCTTCCGTGTGCATCCGTCTTCATTTGAAGAGGTGGTGAGTGCGGCATTGAATGCCGAAATTCAATTTCAAGTCTGCACGACTTAGTTGGAATGCAGACTTCAACAGCTCGTCAAGCTGGCCTATGCTCATGGATATGAGCTATGCTAGGATGAGGGAGCAGAGCTCCGAGCTGCCGGGCAGCATGCACACATTCGACGGTGTTTTGTGTGGAGTCACCCGTCACCTTCGGAACGGTTGCCCACTGCGCAAGGCGCGTCAAGGTCCTTCGAATCATCGCCCCAATGCCTACCAGTCTGGTTCATTGCGGGAAAACGACACCACTCAGTAGGCGCGGGGCAAACTACTGGGGAAGAACTGAGTTCTGTTGAGCCTCAGGGAGCCATAGGTCAACAGGGCCCAGCCCTGCAGAGCTCCGTGCTCTTGAACACGGAACGTATATGCAAACCGGGCTTGCTGGTCGCAGAGGCGACCGTAAAGGGCTTTGAGAAACCATGGAAGATCATCATCGATTCCGGGGCGTCGGGCAATTATGCTCGAGGCTCCACGATGAAAGGAAGTCAGCTGTATGCTGAGGCGCTGAAAGCGCGGTTGGGGGGCATCGTCACTGTTACCATAGCGACGGGGACGCGTGTCACGGTCCCGAAAGTCCCTGTGGACCTCGGAGTCACGTTTCTTGTCTTTGGTAGCGTGGAGCGCTGTCTAGTCTTACACTTGGATGCAGGGTATAACTTTATCCTAGGAATAGCATGGCTAGATCACCATGAACCATGGATTCATTGGAGGTCAAAGACCTTGGGCGCTACGAGCACGTCTCCTGGTGGAGCTTTGGCCAGTCATGAACCCATCTCTGCTAGGAGACAAAGCGCTATTGTCGAAAGCACTGGACCGAGACGGTTAACGTGCTAGAAATTGGAATGTCCGAGTTGGTAGATATCAACAGTGTCTCGGACAGTAATC